GTTAATTTATTTAAAGTCAATAGACGTCATACGTCAGAAAGTCAGCTTTCCAATTTGCACTGGGGTTTGGTCCACTGGCTGTGCTCTGTCCAGGTATAATTACTGTATCAGTATCCATCAAACTAACTTAGATTGACTGTTTGAGGTGTAGGGACATGACATGTTACTGCTGATTATTGATTAGTGGAGATTTAAAAGCCCAACTGGAGTGTTTTACTACTCCAGCAGGTGAAGTGCTTTGACTGCTTACAACCAAGCAGTCACTGTTTCATTCACGTGAATCAGCAAATATATTTGTACTAAGAGGACAGAACAAGTCAGTACAAGTTGTTAGGTCACATAAAATACATCCAGATGAAAACCTTAAAGGGTTTTGTTTGAATCTTCAGATTGGGATTGTCGCTATCTAATGTATTCTCTATGACCATTTCTTTTTGTTAAAGAGAAGAGCAATACAATCTTGTAACATAAACACTCACTAAACATCTCTGGATGCATTTGTCATGCCAAGAATGGCTCTCACAACAGAAAGGCTACAAAGTAAATAACCTAAATTAGCATGGCACCTGAATTACTACCAAAGGGGGGAAAAAAATACCCAAAAAACCCAGAGCGTCCTAAAGCTTTTTCATGTTCATTTAAGTTTTGGAGCATGTATCCTTTGCTACACTGCACAAACAATACATTTAGCTCTATTTACATTGAGGAACTTCTTTAGCAGAAAAAATTCTGATATTACAAACACAGAATTAAACATAAAAATTTAACTAATTAGACATTTATAAGTATTGCCTGAACAATGTGCAGATGTCACAGTGGTATTCACATCTTAGTTGGATAAGAACTGTTGTTGCTAAATGCTAACAAAATAACCGTCTTTACTGAATTTTACATGACAGTTACTGCATTAGATGTCCATATATTCATCATTATTCATCACTGTTTCTCTCTGCTGTCCTTTCCTGACTCCCTTCTCCCCTTATACCCATCTGGTCGAGGCAGATGGCCGCCCTCTCTGGGCCCGGTTCTGCCGGAGGTTTCTTCTTGTTAAAGGGCAGTTTTATTCCCCCACTGTCACCAAAGTGCTTGTTTAAAAAGGAATCACTGAATCTGTTGGGTTAAAAGCATAGTGACATGACTTTTGCTGTGAACTGGTGCTACATAGGTAAAACTGAATTAAAATTTATTTTGTGCAGAAAATGTTTTAATTAGTTAGAAAACTGATTTTTTTTTAAAAAATCAATTAGAAAAAAACAAGCAAGTAACAGATGCTAGGTGGGAGTGTTTTTACTCAAACTAACAGACAGTTCATCTCCCTTGATAATGTGTTGTTGTTGTCCCACAGCAAGCCATGCAAAGTGTGTTTTTGTGTGATTTGTCTGAGGACATTTTGTACAAATCCTTTATAAAGCATATTTTATCTGCACACACTGGAATGTATGATCACCCTCAGGCTTCACAGTGCTCCAGTGTGCATGTGTTGTTCATATGTAGACCATGTGTGTAGTGCTTAATGTGTGTGTGTGTGTGTGTTTGGGAGGTGTTTTCGCTCATGTCTCAGTGGTGTAATTGAACAGAATCTGTTTTCCACTTGACTGGTTCTTTTGAGCCTGGACATCCCCTAAGATGAGTGTGTGTGTGATAAAGGCTAATCATGCAACGTTTGCAATCTCCTATGTGAAGTGTGCGACACGAAGAGTGTGTGTGTGTGTGTGTGTGTGTGTGTGTGTGGTTATCTCAAGTGAGCCCAAATTAGTTTTTTCCACCTCATTAGCCATATCATCGCATCCCCCCGCCTCACCACACATGGCAAGAACAGCAACCTGGCTGTGTGTGTGTGTGTGTGTGTGTGCTAGATAAAAATGGAAAAGTCAGCGCTTTCTTGTGAATAAAATCCAGTCCAGTGTCTGTGTTGTCAGAGGTGAAGTATGTGTACATGTGTAATTCCCAGGATTAACACAGAGTAGCTCAACATTCAGTCATTGTAACCAGATGGGGACATAAAAAAACAACCCTCATCCCTTAGACATGATGCTGTTTGAGTGAAAACATAATGTATTTATGGAAAGAAAACAATAACTCACTGGTGACTGACACCTTAATACACTCAGAAAGCATATAGAATTCAGTTAGTACTCCTGTTATAATTGGTACTATGCTGAGAGGTAATAGTACTATGGTTAGTTATGTTAGTAGTAGTGGTGGAGTAGACACTTTAATGGTCAGCGGACCTTTCTTAAAGGAACAGGTGAATATTTTAAAAGCTATATTTATTTATTTTCTTGCAGAGAGTCAGAGGAAAAAATTGACACTTCCCTGATGTCTGTGTGTTAAATATGAAGCTTTAGCTGGCCAACAGCTAGTCCCTCTTCGATATCTGATTTAACCCTTAAAAACTCATCTCTGAAATTCAAAATAATATATTTCAAAGGGTTTTTTTATACATGAAAATAGTCTATTCCTGCCTTAAAATGGCTTAGATATCTCCATAGGGATTGGGATCCTGTGGGAACCAATGCAATCTCATGGGAGTGGGTGGTTTTAACTTTGCTAAAAACAAATTGTGGGTCCTGGGATTTACAGCAACCAGAAGACTAGAGTCAACAAATGAAGCTGAATAGAAGACTGAAGTGTGTTTTTACAATGTAAATCAAAGCAAGGCAATTTTGTCATGTGGATGAATTTCCTAGTTGTAACTCACAAAGATAGAAAAGAACTGGACTTTGCTACGACAAATGTGCAAAAAGCTCTAATCTGGCACCTCTGGGTGGAGGTGACATGCATGCAAAGTTCTCCCAGTCAAATAGCTCTACTCCAAAGATAAAACATGGCACATATTTACCAAGATACTATCAAGAAGTCTGTAAATGTGTACTTGCTATAGTAGAATGACTCATCATTTTGCTGCATTGTACCTGACTGGTATGCATCTCTTTATTATCATTACACAGTAAACACCTAAATCAAAGGAGTCCTACATACTATTAGTGTACTCATAGTATTTAAACAAGGAGCAGGATTACGAAGGCAGCCTCACACAGGACTCTACTATTCATGTGCAGGTCAATAAATTCCCCACCTTCCTCCATAGAACTGCAGCTTGAGCACTCCTGCTCACCTATGACTCTCTAAAACTATGCAACACAATGGAAAGTTGCAATATTACAGGAACTTGGACAAACACGTTCAAACCGTAAACTAACTCTGAAGAAAAATAATGATACAGAAAGTCTCATGCTGCAAGGTATTGGGATTCGTTGTTTAAGTCTGTTGCGCAAGAAAACCAGGAAGTCTGAATCCGTGTTTTTGAAACTGTCATCCGTACACTGCAGTTTCAATGTGGAAATGCTCAGCCATGGTGCTGACTGCTTGTTTTTGCTCATGATGTCTCTTCTAGTACATAACAAAAACACCATGAGGACATGTTACCATAGTTAAAAACTTGATCTTCACTGGAGAGGGTCTGGAGAGTTTGATTTAATAATGTCTACATGTTTTTGACCTTCAAATCTATGCTTAAGGTACCAGGAAACATATACTGAAATGTAAAGCCTGCATTAAAAAGTTTGATATTATGGGCATGTGTTTTTACAATTCAGACCCAACTATAACTTAAAAGTCTGTGTTCTGCATAAGGGAAGACAGTTTACTCTGCATCACTGCCAACAATAATCGATTTAATCTGGTTCTTCACTTGATGACCCGCCTCACCATTTTTCCACTTTAGTGAACATTGATTGCAGAACACTTTGTCAGGTTTCCACTTTGTAAAACACTGTGACTCTTCCAAATGATACAGTGCTCTGTTGCAACATTTGCTGAAAAAATTGATTTGCTCAACACTTAATAAACTGTAGACTGGTTGCTCTTATAGGATGAACAAAGAGCCTAACCCCAACACAGCCACAAGTTGAATATGTTCTCAACAGACATGTGGATTCTCTATAAAAGCCCCCTTTGTGTAGAATGTGTCTTTCCAGGGAAATACCTGGCAAAAAAACAACTGCAGTTGTAGGGTAAAATAGGAGTAGGGATGCCTTATTGTCAGATACATTTTCCTTTCTTATAATGCTCAAAAAATCTTCCAACCTCAACAACCATATAGATTGTTTGTCCCTACACTCTAACACAAGAGTCTGATGTCTTGCTGACACAACCGTGCACATGGATCACCTCTTTTCAGTGACTTTATGGCTTCATAACACTGTAACATGACTTTCTCTCTCCTCCCATCATAATATAACTAGGGCAGCGTAATGTAAACACTCGTTATTTTTGGGGATTCGCTGAAAGGACTGATGCTGTCCTGACTGCTAGAAGTCTCTTAACAATAAAACCACTGATTGTATTATGCTGCCTACAGACACAATCTAAGAGGTAGTTATTTATGTGAGTCACATTTTAACTGCGTTCATGAAAAGCAGAAATGTTTCAATCCAGTGCATAGGAGTAAAGGAACAACGGACTAATCTTATAATTATGATGTCACTATTTAGGACAACAGGGGCATGAGGATGCTGGTATCTGCTTTGATTTCATTCTGGGAAAATGAATGTTCATGTGTTCATAACCAATGAAATTTTGAAAACATAATGCCATTTTATTCATGAGATTGACATGTTGATGATGTAAATGAGAGCAGTTGTATCCTGCACTGTGTTGTTGATGAGTTTATGAATATTTTGCTGAGTGATACAAAATGATAAACACTACAATCAGCATGTCACCGACACTGTGCATCGAAGGTGTTTGGGAAGATGGTTCAAAGTCACTTTGTTCTTTCAGGAGTAGCTCAACCAGCATGGACTGGTTCAGGGATTATGTCAGAAATGCATGCAAGCTATTAAAGTTTGTGGCTCTGTTCAACTATGCGTGGAATTATGAGGTTAGCAGCTCAAAATAAATGTAAGAATTGCAAAACAAGGTTTGCAATTTTCGTAAAAACAGAAGGAATAGACCATTGCTCCTATAATGAAAACATACTTTGTGTTTCCCTACAGCACCTTTCCAGACTCTAAAGAGCAGTACCCAGACTTCCCTTTTAAAAATGGAGATGTGTCCGGGGCCATCGAGCTGAAACGACCCGTCGGCAGCCACTGTCACGGCCCCAAAGCTACGACGTGTGAGGACAGCGTGGACAAGGTGCTGGCCAAGAAGAAACTCTACATCGCTTCAGCGGTCTGTCTCGTCTTCATGATCGGCGAGGTCATAGGTAACGAAGCTCAGGAAATAAAGAGAACAGAAAGTCAGATGGAAGCTGACAAAAGGAGGAGCTACTTTTCCAAGCATAGCAGCTGCATCCTCTCCTAGGCAGAAAAAGCTGGTGGCTTCCACAATCACCTGGTTGTTGCAGGAAGCTTTAGGATCTTCAGAAAAAGAACTTGTCCCTGGAAAATCAGGGATGGGTTGTACTTTGTCTTTCAGGTTTTGCTACACCTTAAATATCACCACACATTAGAGAAGCAAAGAAATAAGAGAAAAAACAACTTCTAAGAAAGGCAAAACAAAACAAAAACAAAAAAACAAGAAGGAATTGTTGAAGAGATTTGAGCAGTCACCAGATTTTGACACTTTTTATAGATCCCTGTCAGGTAACATCAGGCTACTTCCCATTATGATCACTTTTCAGCAGGTGGTAAGTCTCTCAAAAGTCTGATCGTGGGGTTGTAACGGTGCTTATATACATCTTGAAATGTTCAGGTTGGTATGTAATTTCCCTGGCTTGGTCCTGCCAATAGTTGGTGTTTTATTGCCGCACCTACCATTGTCCATCAGCATACTAGCAGGGTTCAGGGGGCCTTCACAGCTGCAAACATTACATTTTTTAAAGAATCTAGCATGGACTGTTACTTTATACAACACATGTTCATCAGCCTTCCTGCAGCCAGAACGTGCCATTTCTCTACGGATACTGTAGGGTTCAATCGATCGAGCTGACACTGAACATAAGAACAAAACCACCGTTGCCTTTGACCAGATTTTGCAGTGAATGTTTACATGGCATGAAAGAGTATCATGTAATACAAAATGAACACTTCTGATGGGGACAAAACCCTATCAAAACCGTTCATGCAGATATTAACACCATCATCTTATAATGGAAACGCTTATGGAAGGCTACAATGCAATGTTGAGTTCTAGCGCAACTCCTCATTTCTGTCCAATAAAGAAACTGAAAAGAACAAAGTTATGAGGGAGATTCATGTTTGAGTATAACTTTTTTTTTTATTGCTATGAGTATAAAATGGTGGCTGACATTCACCGTTGACTGCCCACATGTTTAAAATGATATTAAGGAATTAAATGTCTCCTTTACTCGAGGCAACCGAGGGTCTTGGTATTAATACAAAATATCACGGTTTGTAGTCGCTTTAAATTACAGGCTTAATCTACCTCTAAACGGCTAAAATAGGTGTAATTAAAAGTTGAGGATGTTATTACTCATGAGGTGCTCTCCTGGTTGCTGAGTGGTGACAAACTCCTTGTCAGCAAGTTTTAAAAGTCAATTTTCTTAGTAAGGCCTCACTAGAAAAGAAAGAAAATCAGCTTCACACTTAAACTGACAGATTTGTTTTCTGTCGCTTTCGATTCGTCTTTCCTTTTCCTACAGGAGGCTACCTGGCCCACAGCCTGGCCATCATGACTGACGCAGCCCACCTCCTGACAGACTTTGGCAGTATGATGGTGAGCCTGTTCTCCCTGTGGATCTCCTCCAGACCGCCCACCAAAACCATGAACTTTGGTTGGCACAGATCAGGTCAGAATGAGAGATCGGATCCGTCTGAGTGGGTGCATGAATGGAGGAAAGGTTAATGGATGTCAGGATGTTAGTTTATGTACTTATTGATACACTACTAAGTGTTAGGAATGGCTGAATAATAGACGGATGGTGAAAACAGCCCTGAGAAAAACACTCAGACCAGCATTCAATCAGCGTATGAGTGTGGATTTTTCCTTTTTAAGCAGCTGCCACCAAATAATAGGTGATTATATGTTTGTCTACAACTGCAAAACTCTCCTGCTGTTACTGCTGTTCGCTTCCTTTGAGAGACATATGTTGGCAGGCGTAGAGCTGCTCTGGCAGACTAATATTTATTTATTTATTTTTAACAGTGCCCCTAATCTTTTTCTGTTCAATGATGTATAATTTTTTTAAAGAGACAAAAAATTCTCACAAACCAATGACTTCAAACTATCACAGCCACTCTGTAAGACAGTTTGTAATTCTCTTGCATAGCCATACAATCTGTACCAGCATTTAAAAGCAAGAACATTGTTAAAAATGAAGCTATTATCTCATAATTATAAGGAATTTTTAAAAATGTAGGATTCTCAGGCAAGTTTTGAAGTGTTTTAGTTCCTGCCCCAAGTCAAAACCATCTCATGATCAGAATCAGAAATTGGAGTGTGAATCAGACTCTCATAATAATGGCTGTTCGCTGGTTATAGCTACTTTGGCATAATTCATTTCTGAAACCCATCCATCATCTGTACACCGCTTAATCCTCACTAGGGTCATGGGGGGCTGGACTCTATCCCAGCTGACTCAGGGTGAAGGCAGGGGACACCCTGGACAGGTCACCAGTCTATCACAGGGCTACACTTAGAGACAGACAACCAAGCACACTCACATTCACACCTACGGACAATTTAGAATCACCAATTAACCTCAACATGTTTTTGGACCTTGTGGGAGGAAGCCAGAGAACCTGAAGAGAACCCACGCTGCACGGGGAGAACATGCAAACTCCACGCAGAAAGATCCCAAATCCCAGGACATGAATCGGGGATCTTCTAGCTGGGAGGCAACAGTGCTAACCCCTGACCCACCATGCAGCCCCCTCAAATGACATCTTTTTCCTAATAAACAAGGCTCAGTTTGCAGCTCACAGTGTGACTCCCTGTACAAGTGTATTGGAGCAAGAGGTGGACCACTTCAGAACTTGCCCTAGAATCATCAGGTTGTTAAGATTTATGCAGTGTTGAAGTAACTCTATGAAAGTTTACAGTGCAGACAGTGGTACACAGAAAAAAAACACCTTAACTGCAAGTTTTAGCTTCATTTTCCAAAATGTAAAAAAATATAAACAAGGTCCATTTTATGAAGTTGGCACGTGTCCATGCTAACACTAGACTTCCATCCATCCATCCATTATCTATACACCGCTTAATCCTCACTAGGGTCACGGGGGACTGGAGTCTATCCCAGCTGACTCAGGGTGAAGGCAGGGGACACCCTGGACAGGTTGCCAACTAGACTTCTAGTTTCTCGTAAAAGTTTTTCTCCGTTCACAACATCTTTAACATCACATTTTCCAAAATACTTTGTTGGGGACAAAACATAATGATGTTGAAGCTCGTATTCATTCTAATAAATCAGGAATCGCCCTTGTCCCGTCCTGCAGTGATTGATTACCACCCTAACTTTTTCATAATTACAACATCTTTTTCCTAATTATGAGACAGTAAATCCTAATCACAAGGTAAGGTCTTGTTTTTTTTTGCCACGCATCTGACCTTGACAACTGTTTTGTAACGACATAGTTGACATTTAGCAAATTGCACTTGTGTGAACTTAGAGGAAACACGTACTTAAAGACAAAAAGTTTTTAGCTGAATTTTTGTCTCATCCACACAGCATTATCATCCTCCAGGAAACCAAACTCTGGAGGTGTTTTAGAGGCCCCCTCCCAGACAGGATTACGGCATTTAAAAAAGTCCATGAAGGGAGGAGTCATTCACAAACGCTATAAGCTGCTGTAACGCAACAATACATTTCTGCCATCTCATTGTGCGTCTGCTGTTGAAAGTGAAGCTTTGTCTCAGAAGGATAACTTCAGTCATTTAACTTTATATCCCAATGCAGCAGTCAGATGGAGGTGTGCTGCCTCGTACTGTGTGTGATGAACTGTGTGACAACATTAAAGTGCTTAAGAGTCCTGCTTCTGTTCCTCCCACAGAGATCCTCGGGGCATTTGTCTCAGTCATGTCCATCTGGATCGTCACAGGAGCTCTGGTCTACTTAGCCATCGAGAGGATCGTACGCAACGACTATGAGATTGACGGCCACGTAATGTTGGTCACCTCTGGGTGCGCCGTCATCGTCAATATTGTGTGAGTGCTTCTTGGCTTAATTGGTGTTCAGATAGTACATTGCAGCTTGTAACAGTCTGGTTCCAAATGCACGTCGCTGTGATGAAGTTTAATTTAAAGCTCCATGACAGTGCAAAAAAAATAAATTCCTACTTGAAAACTGTGTTTCCCTTCAGATTCAACAGGTAAATAGAACTGAAATCCTGATGTTTCCCAGGAATTCTTACTTGTTGTGCAGCTGTGTGTGGTGAAACAAAGATGCTCTCTGAAACCTCATTAACACTTGGCTCAGCTGGGTTTGCTGCTCAAATTGAAATGCTTAATGAGAATTAACTCAGCTGTAAGTCTGTATTCAAAAATGCAGGCAGTTCAAGCAGCGCTTTAATCAGACATCCAGGCCTCCATTCCCAAACAACAGACAAACCATTACAACTAAACGCTACACAGAATTAAAATAACTCACCAAAATGGCAGCGTGCTACTGATTTCCTTCCCTGCCGCTGCAGGCTGTTATAACCTCATTACTGCTCATTACTACATCTCACACTACAATACAGCCACGATTCTGTAGGGTCGGCACCCCTTTTAGACATTCACTCCTTTCCATTAGTCTGACGGCATCTGAACATGTCGGTTTCATGTCTGAATACGCACCCTGGTCCACTTTCTGCACCTGCAATGACAATCTTACTGGGTCGGACCGAGTAGCATTTCTGCATCACTTTCAACAAAGCACAAAGGGCTTCAGTTGCACCACAAGGCTGCAACTAACAACTACTTTATTGAATAGTTTGGTCAAGGAAATATCTCAAATACCTGCCACAACATCTTACAACTCAAGATGGTGTCTTATACTCTGCATACCCTAAAGAACTGGTGAAATCTTACATTTGAGAATGTGAAGTCATGAAATGTTAGACTTATTTGACATAACCACGTTACACATTTGCATAATGCTGATGTAGCAGCTAGTTTGGCCCACAAACAACAACAAAAAATGAGCAACTTCCTTGCAATTTGCCATTATTTCCTCACTAGAGCTGCTTCTGCTCCAGCTATGCCTCTCTGCCTGTACTCACATTGGAAGGGCATTTATGAACTCTTATATGTGGTGTGTTTAGTTGTATCATTGGCCATAAGAGAACATGTGAGAACACTGCTTCTTGGCAAATGCAACGTGGATGTTACTGCCGGCGTCTAGAACCCATCAACGCTAATGATTTAGCGTAGGAAACATAAAGGCGTAATGAAAAGATCAGGCTATGTGGGAAAACTTCAGACAATTTTTTTCGAATTACGAAATTTCTGAAAACTTTAGTAAACATGTCACAGGTGGTGAACTCGGAACTTTTAAAATGATCACTTAGGAGGTTGTGAAGCTCAACAAAGTGGCATTTACATGGACTCCTCTCATAAACACCAGAAACACGACCCCATTTGAAGGCATCAATAGATCTCAGGTTACAGTATGTGAGCAACATTTCCTCCATCTGTTGGACCAGCTGACCAATCAGAGCAGACTGGGCCTTAAAGAGACAGGCGCTAAAACGGAACGTTTCATACGGAAGGTAAAAGAGGTGCTGCAGCAATGTACAGTATGATAAAAACAATGGGTTTTTTTTAGACATCAAAGCATGTAAACATATTCTAGGAGACCCAAAATATAAAATAATAAATGTGTATATGTGCAAAATAAGGGTTCTTTAAGCCACCACAAGTCATTTTGTGATTACATCTAGAGACAACACTCAACACTTGCTGGCCTTTTAGCGTATCTGTGATGTAGCAATGTTAGGTTTGACCTCCATGTTTGCTGTCCTTTTTCAATGCAAACTACTTCATGTTTGTGGTTTTAATGTCTTTCTGTTTTTCGTGAGGAAATGTGTGTTTGAAGCTTAAAGTGCTGAGAACAGAGCTTACATGAAAGCATCTGTTTCATGGCTGCCATTAGGCACAACTGAAGTACCTCTGTTGTTGGTTCTGCAGCATGGCCTACATCCTCCATCATTCGACCACCTTCCACGCCCATGGCAGCGGTTATCACCACATCGACGAGGACGGTCAGAGCCCCGTCAGTTACGGACACAGCCACACGCTCCTTAGTGGCCACAGCAACACCAGCGTCCGCGCTGCCTTCATCCACGTGGTCGGAGACCTGCTGCAGAGCATCGGCGTCATGGTGGCAGCGACCATCATCTACTTTCGGGTCAGATATAGATCACATTCATGTTTGGGTGAGACTGAAACATCGGTTTGCTGACGTTGGCCTTTATTTAATTATTTTTTAAATCACATATGATGACCTATAAGATGCCGTTTAACAAGCATAAAGAGTTTTTATCAGTTTATGATTTGAATGATAAATACAAGCGATGTGCTGTGAAATTTTTGGGAAACTGTTTATAAGGATTAACATCAGTCAATTTTGTATTTAGATTGAATATTCTCCACAAGACGCATCTTATATTGCCAAAACAGTGACTTTAATGGGTTCTTTAAACCAGCCTCTAAATCTCAAGAGCCAATTTAAGGTATATTTAATATGCAGAAATTGGCTCAGAAAGCATGAACGCATTCATTTACTTAGAGTCTTGTTTGTTATGGATGAAAGGTTAAGCATTTCTGTCATCTTGCAAGATGTTCCCTTTTTTCTGCCCTGAGCATTTTAATGCCTCATGACTGAGGAAAACACCATCTGATGTCTCTTTACTCACTCTGTCAAGTCTCCATGACCTCTTCTCTCTCTTTCAGCCTGAGTACAAGGTTGCAGATCCCATCTGTACCTTCCTGTTTTCTGTCTTTGTCCTCTGCACCACCGTCACCATCCTCAGAGACGTCTTCAGGATACTCATGGAAGGTACTGGACCTGGAGATTGACACCTTCCTGTCTACCTCTCTGGAGAAATCAAGTCTTTTTTTAGTGAATTCTTATATGGTAGAAGACATAATATGAGGGAAATAAACAGTCAGTACCATAGCTGAGCATTTACGCCTTGAAACTGTAGTATTCAGATGACAATTTAAAAAAACAAAAAACATGTATTCTGACCCACCTACAGCTTTGAATAGAACCAGTCTACTTTGACATTGTGGGAAATGCATTGCTAAAAAATACACTACAGCAAGCAACACCAGAAACGTAGAAACCACTGTCCACTTATATTCAACAGACACATAACAGACGTACAGTTTTTCTTTTCAAACAGCAAACTTCCATAAAAGTTGTGTTTGTTAGGGTCTAGCTCAGTAGGCGAAAGAAAAACAGCGTGTCTGTTGTACCAAAATGTAAAGTATTTAATGGATAAAAAGCTTTTTAAACGAACATAAATCAACACTAAAGGAGGAACACAGAGGGCGATGGATGTTACTCCAAAAAGAAAAAAAAAAAGAATTTAATACAAACTAGATAATTATGATTAGGTTGTAATTAGAAATTTACGCTTGCTGACCAATCCTACTTTAATAAATGAACAAATAAAGGAACAAAGCTAATCACCATCCAGCTACAGTTCTGTTCTTAAAGAAAGCACTGCTACAAATGAAACTGTAGCAGCAGCAGGTTAGTTTGTCTTAGCATCAACACTGGGAACAAGTTCTGACTGTCCAAACATAACTTCATATAAACAGTTACATGACAGAGATGTATTTATCTTCTCTTGTCAAGAAAGACAAAAAAGCCTGCTTCCATAAATTCTTAAGTATTCCTTTAAGATGAGCTGAAACGGTATTTACAAACAGCACTCAGCTGTTTTACGCCTGCGGCTGTTGTCAAGCTGTTAAATTTTGACCTGATCTGACAAGGTCAATATCACACGATGCTAAAGGATGTCATGTGATGAGCTTTCATGTGTAAAACAGACTTTTTAACAGTTTTGGAAGAAGTCCTCACATCCTTTACTTAAATAAAAGTACCACCACAGCAATGTAAAAGTACTCCATTACAGGTAAATGTACTGCATGATAATGTATCTTGTTTTTCAGGGTCTCCTAAAGGAATAGAGTTTAACTCGGTGAAGGAGGTGCTGCTGACTGTGAAAGCTGTGAAGTCCATGCACTGTCTGCACCTGTGGGCTCTGACGCTGGGTCAGTCCCTGGTTTCTGTTCACCTGGCCATAGGTAATGTAACACACTGATCAAGCAACAGCGGGAGTTAACTCATTTACTCTGGACAAGGACACCACAGTGATAGAGCAAGACAGAGAGGAATCATTCACAGAAGAATGAAGTAAAAGCAGCTAAAGCCAATAAAATGGGGAAGAAAAAAATAAGGGAAGACTTCAGCAGTATAAAAAGTTGTTACAGTACAGATAAAAGTACACTCAAGTTTGACAGAAAGTAATTAACTGCAGTTAACACGGGTAGATGAGACAAATCTCTGATAGCAGCAGCTCAGAAAGATGAATTTGCGATCATTTTTTGTAATTTTCCAGAGAAAATAACTTCAAACAAAGATGGTCTGAGAAGGTTGAACTGAGAGAGAAGAGAACTACATTTGCATGAGAAAACACCACATTCTGTTTTAAAGCTCTCTGGGCATTTAGAATTACTTTAAGCCGACCTTATTGTGGCCAGACTGACCTAAAATCCTACTGAGTAACAAGGTAGCACAAATTTAAATGTGTTATTTACTGAAGCAATGAAAGTGTTTTTAGTTTTCAGTTTTTCACCCCACTCCAACACAACGATTATTAGCCTGTACAAAAAAGATGATAAACATTAAAGGCCTGGGCCTGGGATCTTTCTGCGTGGAGTTTCCATGTTCTCCCTGTGCAGCGTGGGTTCTCTCCGGGTTCTCCGGCTTCCTCCCACACAGTCCAAACACATATTGAGGTTAATTGGTGATTCTAAATTGTCTGTAGGTGTGAATGTGAGTGTGCTCGGTTGTCTGTCTCTAAGTGTAGCCCTGTGATAGACTGGTGGCCTGTCCAGGGTGTCTCTTGCCTTCACCCAGAGGATTAAGCGGTGTCTAGATAATGGATGGACGGACTATGATATCACAGTGATGCTGACTGTTCGGATATAAAATGTCATCATTTCAAAATTGTATCCTATTAGACATCCATCCATTATCTATACACAGCTTTATCCTCTGTAGGGTCATGGGGGGCTGGAGTCCATCCCAGCTGATTTACGGTGGAGGCAGGGGACACCTAGACAGGTCACCAGCCCATTAGACATTTGAATTATTCTTTATTTTATCATATTTAGCCAAGTTTCAAGCTCCATGGCTGAGAAATGAAAACATGCCAAATGTCTAAAACTGCAGTTTCTTGAATGTCCACTTAAAGTTGCCTCCAAAAGCCAGTCAGTCTCCATTGACCCCCATGTGAAAATGTCCAGCTTTACCACAGAAATTAACATGTTTGCAAAAACCTTTTTGGTTTCCATTGCAAATTTCTTGATTCACGACAACTGTACCAGGATGGATTTTCATATAGCTTCCCCATTTGTATTGTATAAAGGTTTAAAGTTAAGAATCACTGAGGCTTAAGTGACAGGTGGGTGCCTTCATAAGACAGGACTGAAGATCAGTACATCGGTACAGTACATACTAGCTTGGTCGAGGTTTTCTCTGTGTTAATTTCAATTAAAACAAAAAAGGCAGTAAAAAAAGAAAAGGGAGAGTAAAGCAATCTGATAAACGAACTTTACAACAAATGAGCTCAATATAAACTAAAGGTCTTGAAACTGGAGTTTACAAGACAGAGCCACAAGATTGGATGTTTATATTCTACTTCAGTGCTGCAAATTTCCACCATTAAACCCTTTACTTTACTGGGAACTTTGTCCACTTGGTGATGCAGATGATGGATAAAAACACTAAGACGAGGTACCATCAGCCAACATTTTCCCACCTACGTCCTCCACATTCTCCAGTCTTAGCAGTAATTCTATGCACTGTTTCAGTGCCTCATATTCCCCTAATATTTGAAAAACAATGTAGAGAAGAGTAATTAGAGGAAAACGGTTAATCAGATGAGTTTTGTTGTCGGTCAGACTCACTGTGTTGTTGTTTTTTTTCCTGTCAGAGGAGGGTGCTGACCCTCAGTCTGTGCTGCAGGAGGCCACCGACCTGCTCCACACCAAGTTTGGTTTCTACAGCATCACCATCCAGGTGGAGCTCTACTCTGAAGACATGAGCCACTGCTCCCACTGCCAGGACCCCAGTGACTGATACCCACACTGGACTGAACTGGACTGAACTGGACTGGACCCAACAGGACATGTAACGGCTCAGACACTTTGTCATTCTCTCTGGGTGGGCTGGACCAGTGAGAACTGCACTGTGTTCACAATTCCTGCTGAAGGAGTAGGAGGAGTGTTAGTAGACAGTTGTGTTCACCATTGAGTCATAAGAAAGCAGACTGAAATTATCCATGTGCCGTGTATGCTGATGCTGGAGCTCCATGCTAACATGCAGTTCTTCTCAAAACACCATTTCAAAGGATTTTTTTTGTTTTCTAACCAAATACTGAGAGACAGTGTGTCAAAAGAAAATTTGGGGTGAAACTGTTTGCTGGGTTGATGAGGTGCTGGAAATCTATTAAGACTAAAGAAACATGGGTCCCTGGCAGGGATAGGTTTGTCAAAATATTGACTTCTTGATGATTGATCAGATTTGTTCACCTGACTCACTCGCCACCAAGCAACTATTTCACAGTAAGCACAAATTGGTCTATCGCTGCAGCTAAGCTGCACTTGAATGAGTTCTGTGTGCAAAAAGTTCTGGGTAATATGCTGCTATAAAGTGTGCATTAGCATAACCACCATGGACACAAACAGCAGCGGTCCACTGTGAGCACTGTTTAAAGCACAAAAGAAGAGATTTGACAAGGTGACGGGGTAATGAACGGGGTAATCTGCCACTAACTCCAGAGTAGAAAATTGATAACGGTCGACCTCAAGAATACCAAACATTTAAAATCCAGTATGAAAAGTCATTTTAAGCCAAGCACCAAGGTTTATATTTATGCAACTATATATTTGTACAGAATACGTCAGTTGTAGTCTGTACAAGTGAAAGCAGATTCAAAACACTGCCAGATACTGCCAGATACATAGTAGGAGCACATATTGTTTACAACTACTTTTCAGCATTGGTACTTATTTCCAAACAGTTCTACTTAGTACACAATAGTACTGCTAGTATTTCAGCATGCAGCACTAACCCCTGTTTGTGTCTCTTATGTATCACCTTACATTAGTGCTACAGAGCTACACATCCAATTTTTAGAAAAATAAACAGCAGGTGACCTTTTGAATAGACAGAGGGCAGGTCGACGTCCTTGAATCTGAACGTATTTCCAGAATTTCATTCTCAAACATGCCTGCCTGGAGCTGCTGCCCTCATTTTTTTTTCTTGTTGTCACCTAACACAAGCAAGAAAAGTTTTACTAATCAAGGAACTTATTACAAAAAAAAATTAAATTAAAAAAATCCAGCACCAAACACATTATTTGAAAGATGGTTACAAGAGTATCCTGGAAATGTCTTTATAATTGGGGTAAGTGTTGTCAAATTACCTTCTATCAGACCTATTGTCAGATGGGGTCAAAGAGTCCACATGAAGGGGGTTGACCCATGCAGTGATTTATGGTTAACTGTTAAATAGGATCAACTATAGCAAGCGGGTGAGAGGCCCAGTTTGGAAAACGATGCCTCCCTGTACATAAATCCTAATGGCTAGCCTGCCTCCAGGTCTGTGAAAGGTCACCTGGTATTTATTCTCTTGAAATCAGATGCTTTGCTCTGTAACTCGACCATAACATAAATGTGAAAGGCACAAACTGGAGTTGACACCATACAATCAATTAATAGTGTTACAACTGTTAGCATGGAGCATCTGATCAAGCTCTACCAGGACACATGGATGACTTTGATGTCAGTGGTTTCAGCACTAATTTTAACCACATGGCTGTCTGCCAGAATCTCACTACAATCTGTGGTCAACTCTCCATTTGCCTGCTTTACACTGAAGGTCAGACAGGCATCTGCAAAGCTAACTAGCATGAGAGACAGTTTAAAAAGTTAAAGCTGCAGTAGGCGGAGACGTTGCTATTCATACTATCTCACCTGCTCCAGGTGAAAAGCCCTGTGATTGACTAAAATCACCGTCTAAAGCTTGAAAACAGGAGGTGAAGATGTCAGCAGAAGTCAAAGGTCAGTATAGATGTTTTGCCCAGTGATGCCAAAATGTACTGCCTACCCCAGATTTAATTTGCAGAAAATTTCACTGACGTTTGTTTTTTCAAGACAAACTTGGTGCACAGATCACAGCAACCTGCAACACACTGACAAACACTGTCTCACATGGAAGTAAATTATAACATACCTTTACGAAAATATACATTTCGTGTTTATGGTTTGTTGTAGCCTTATGAGGATCACAAACCAAGGATCATATTGTTTTTAAGGATGCATTTATGCAAGGCAGAAAAGTACAACAGTCATTTTGGTAATAGCCACTAATCTGGATCTATCACACTGGTCTAAAAAAAACCTCCAGTATCCAGACTTAGGCTGCACCCCAATGTACACACTAACACATCTGACTTTAAAAACTATGTACTGCTACATGCATACCATTGGGAAAAACTGCCTAAGTTTGTTACTAGAGCAAAACACTGTCAAGTATCTTCCGTTGCAGAGGATTGTGGGTCAGAATGGTGAGAAAAGCATGCTGGCTTGAATACTGCAAAATGCATCCTGATGTTTCTGACATACTGCCTTTGACATACTATATGTTGGGACGTAGTAAATCGTTTTCTGGAGTACTACATTGTATTGTAGTATGGACACTGAAATGCGCTCTCCTTAAATTGCTTGAGTATTTCCTCTAAACCCAAGTGGCAACTTCCAGGGCTACAAAATGAAGCTAACATTGGAATGCAGTTCCTCAAATGTCCACTTGAGGCTCTAAAAGCATGCCATTCCCTATAAACATGTTTACAGGCTTGTACAAAAAACTGTTTGATAGCTAATTTTCCCCCATTCATAACAAATGTACGGTTGGTCAATATTAATGTCTCACATGTTGGAATTAACCAGGACAGTCTGCAGACATTTGCAGCTTCAAAACTTCACAGAGGGTCCAACCATCTTTATAGACAGTCTGTGCTCACAGCAAGATGCTGGTCAAAGCGTCTGTGCTTTGTTCAGTATTGCAATGAACTCTGGGCTTCAACAATCTATCAACTGTACTGTACTTTGTGTCAATTTATCACATCGCACCAAAGATGCAGAGTCATCTCTGTCTCTGTTTCAGAAGGGTTTGGAGGGTCAGGAAAATAAGTTCATTTTAGATCAGTAAAAATTTGAGTGAAATTCAGCAGAAATACAGTGATTTATTGAGTAATATCCTAAAACAGTACTCATTAAAGGGCTATTTCTGGTGGTAGTTTGTTTGTAGGTTGGTTATTGTGTTGCAAGCATTCTTGGTTTCAGTTTCCAAAGTGTCCCACAAGTACAACTCATCAAAAAAAGAACAACAGTCAGACCTGTCGTTCTTCAGCATCTCCGAGAGGTGTTTACTTTATGGTGGGCGGTGTACCAATATGGACTGAGCAGAGGGAAAATGAATGGAAAGTGTCAGATGGAAAAAGCATTGAGCTACTTCCACTGTCAGGTCTGAGTGGACATTCAGGTCTGAGGGCAAAAATGATTCAGTTCTGCAGTCGGACGATTAGTTTTAGCTTCATGCTGTCATCCATCTCATCTATCTCTCATTTCTTCTGGACACATCCATCTAGTATATGACTGTCCCTTCCCTGAGCTTTCATCTGTCTGCGATCCGTCCATCCATTCAGCCATCCGTGTTCTGCAAGTCACGCAGCAGCAATTTTCAGTTACTTTATATGTGAAATGATTCAACACTGGAGTAACTATGACTTTATCTGACACATAATCTTATAAAGCTGTGTTTGTCAAATTGTTTTCCCAGCAAATATAGAATAGCTCTCACTTGTTAGCAGAGGAGACCAGATACAAGTAAATGTCATATTCTGTAGCTTCCATTTGGATTAGCAGAGCCAATACTGACTTCAATTGTGACTGAAATTCCAGAGACTTTGCAACCATTTTGTCACGTTTGCTGATATTATTATAATTCCTACCAAGTGGGAGATATTGTCAGATGTGTTTTCCCAACTCCCTTGCTGGCACTTACAATGTGAACGACAAGACATGAACACCATAAAGAGTCTAAAGCCCCCCTAAAGAAACTGCTTTTGTAAACATCTTGGTAAATTGCACCTCATCCTTGTACAGGTTACTAAACTAAAAGGCAACACAAAACAGTCAAACTGACTACAAACAGATGCAAAATGACTGCAGAGATGCACAAAACCTTTTCAGACGTACCACAACATGCAACACAAAGACAAAAGGACACAAATCTACCACAAAAAGACCCAAAACTATTGCAAGGAATCATTTACCAAATAACTTAATACAAACAGATGCAGAAAATCACCACAAATAGATCCAAAATGCAAAAAGACAACACTACAAATAATATGGGCTTGGTGGCTTGTGGACAGCCCCTTTAAATGTCCATGCCCAGGGGCCCACTGTCTCATAATCCATCCCTGACCACATGAATAAAAGGATTCTTTTATGGGAGCTTCATCCTCAATCGTCTGCAAAATAAACCTGCTGATAAGACTGCTGATAGCTTAGTGTTGCTGCTCCGGAGGCTGGAGGTAGAAAATCTGATGAGACTTTGGCACAATAGAAAATATCATCACACTCAATGAGGTTTATTGTGGTCAATAGATCAACCTAATGTATGACTTAGTGTAAGAGTTACACTGCAGAGTGATGGACTCAGCAAAGTCAATAGTAATCACCCTCTGGGGACCATGAACAGCCACAGCAAATTTCATATCAATGTGGCTGTTAGTCATGTTGTTTAGGTTCCAGAGGACACACTGTATGCTAAAAAAAAACAAACCAAAAATTCTGAAGGATTTAGCCTGTGGGGAGCAGGAATGTGTTCGCTAAATTCAACAGTGTTCTGTAGATTCTGCATGCAAGAGGAATTGGCAGCGAAAGGTGGCTTTAGAGGGAAAAAAACAACAACTTGTGATTACCACAAACACGAGAGTTCATCCTCTGGGGACCATAATTATCCACAGCAGGTTTTATGGCAATCTAGTTATTAGTTATACTGACACAAAATCTATATGTTGACCATAGGGAAGCACAAGACAACACACTGCACAAAACAAAATCCAAAAGATTCCTCCTCTGGGGATAAAGAAAGTTAATTTTGTTTTAATGCACATGTAGAGCAACAATCTTTCATGATCAGAATTCATCCTCTGTGGACAATGACTATCTGCTGAAAGTTTGTTTTTAACAGGCTCCCTGTAAAACTAGCCTCCCTCCAGTGGCCTCAGGAAGGCACCAGAGGAATGGTTGTGTCATGACCAAAATGGAAAAGAGATAATCCTCTGAGGAACCTGAACTTAAAGGGACAGTTTGCTTTCTTTGGGACTGGGAGGACCAGCATGGAGACTAAGCATTAAGCTGCTGTGGACGGACTCTGCAGCAAGAACTATTTCAGGGCCACCTTTCTGACAAAGCGCTGAAGCCACTATATGACTTTTTAAAAAGCCACCAGACTCCATTGAGAAAAACAGTAATTTTAGCTAGCAGACAATGGGAGTTGGTCCACTGCCTCCTCAATTAGTTGGATTGTGTTATTGTGCCACACAGTGGGAGACAAACAGCTCCTTTACTCTGTGAGATAAAATTACTGCTTTTTCAATGGAGTGTGGTGGCTTTGAAGACAGCAATATAACAGCTTAATTTTCCAGTTGGAAAGGGCTGACTGATGAAAAAGTAAACCTGTGACAATAGCTTAAATATATCATACACTTAAACTTCTTCATTTCTTTCTGGCTGTGCTTCCTTTTGGAAAGCTGACTGCATTCATCACTTTGCCTCTGTGCAGGTCCTCCTGTTCACTTGTCTAAACTAGGGTACAATGACTGACATCTAGTCTAGTGATACACTGACTCATACGATCCCACATCAAAGAAACCAAACAATCCCTTTAAAGCAAAGAGTGAACAGTAAAGAACTGCTCTTTGGTTTTGACTCTAATAAAACTTTTGTGGGAAAGCGATGCTAGTGGGGGCTGATCATGGTGTCAAAATCATTTGGATGAATCCTCTGGGGACCACAAATACCAACAGCATGTTTCATACAAGTTAAGGTTGGCTTTAATCCACAGTCAGATTTGGGAAAAAGTAAAATATGTTTCTTATTTTGCACACAAGAACAGCCAGCGAGCCGTCAACATGCCTGCAATGCTTCCCAGCTACTATAAAGTGTTGATGTATTTGCTTTCAAAGAAAGGACAACTGTACATTGTGAACGCCTCGTTGACATCCGTTCTGATCCAAAAACTTGCATGGTTGTTAGCTGTTATTCAATATCATGTATAGTAAGAAGTTTCTTGTTCAACTGCCAATCAGAGCATATAGACACAACATGCGGAGGATTAATCAAAGAATAAAATCTTCTTTAAAATTCTATATTTTCACCAATTTTTAGGGAGATCCTGTATATTTACATACATTTTTCCTTATGAACTAATGCTAAATAAGAACATACTTGTATATGGACCCAACAAGCTAAAACAAAGTGAATGTAATGATGACCAATGCATTTTACCGTACTAGTTTTGATAAACTGGAGTTCTCCTGTGCAGGCTCCAGCGTTTAACTGGAGCTTTACAGCGTGAAAAAATAAAAGTTCATTTCATTCCAGATAAACACCGTTCCTGTTTGTTCACTATGAAAGTCTAATGTTCGAGAATGCTCTGTTATCGTGCTGTTGCTGTTTGTGACAATTATACTTAGTGTGACTGTTGTAAATATGTCAAATATTGTGTATTTCCTGTGTATGATTTTGTGTATACATGTGTAAATACATTTATCTTCCTTGTACAATCGGTCCTACTTGTCTAAGTGTTCTGGTGATACCGCGTAAATCCACTCGTCACATCTGTGATGTTTGATATTTCATTTTTATGTGTGGCAAGAGTTTTTGTAAAGTGAAATAAAAGGCTGCAGATGACGGCGAACGACTGGATTATTTCCGAGACAACTGATGCAACAGAGAAACAATTCATCAGCTTTTCACAGTGTTTAGGCTTAAATAAAGGCTTTGGATTATTTCTTATTATAAAAACGTTTATTATCGGCAATGTTTCAAAAATAGCAACAGAGAGCACTTGATGAACATTGTGACGCGTTTATGAATTGCAAACCTACAAATGTTGTCAGTAATGAACTCAGTATGTTTGTGACCGACAATATTGAGACTGTCATTTGGAAATAACTGGAAAACACAGTTTAAAACCCCTAATTGAACTCAGAGGAAAACGTGTCTGAAGAAACAGATTTCCTCCTGTAATTATTTACATTTTCCCCATTTTTTAAATGTAGACAATGGAAAATAAATTAGGTTGTGCTACAATGCTGAATCTGTAATATTTATTTTAAAAAACAATCATTTATTTGAGCTATTCGAGAACAACAACGGTAGGAATATGTTCAACAGGTAAGGAAAGGATCGATATTACATCCAGCAAAGATACAAAAAAATTCAAGTATTTCCTCAAATGTATAGCCTGAGTAGTTCTTAAAACAGGATAACGAAAACGAAAACAGCAGCAATGAGCTTACAGACACACTCCCGGGTTGTGTTGCAGTTTTAAACCTCAGCATAGATTATAAAGTCGCCAACAGTGAGGTGATAACAAAATAAGGGCGTGTATCTTTAAATGCAAAAAAAACCAACTAACAAAACTGTATTACACGACTAGATAATGGGGCCATTGCAGATTTAAAAAAAATAAGTAAAAAATGCTGATAAAAGTTGTACATTTTCAAGAAAAAGCTCAAAAATGTACAAGAAAAAAACGTCGATATTCTCTGAGATGAGAGTCACACAATCTTTTTTTGTGAAGGAACCGCATTGCTCAACTTTGCAAGTTTAGAAGCTCGTACAATAAAGTCGTGACGTGCCTGCTCACGCACAGCGAGGAGGGACAAAAGTAAGGATGTGTTGGAGTTCCCGATGCTCAAAAGTCGTCACCACAGCCAAATCAGTGCAATGTATTCTTCCCAACCGGCCTAATTAATGGCAATGTCATTCCAAAGATGTTCGTAATAAGTTGATTCTGAGCTAAAATCACAAGTATTACATGATTGCTACATTTGATTGAAAAGTATTGACATTTCCGGCATAAAACCTTGTGCGCGGTGATTTTAATCTAACCGTGCAAACTGAAGACAAACAAAAAAATATGTTTTTTCTCAAAAGTGTAGCACTCTAATCTCAGAGAATATCCAAGCTTTTTTTTCTGAATGCAAGTAAGGCTAAGAAATCTGGGAACGGAAAATAATAAACTACGATGGAATGTCTCACTGCTACCAAAATCACATGGTTGCAAACACAAAAAAATAAACATTTTATATTTTAGGTTCTGTTTTAGATTTATCCAGTTTCTCACATTTCGCAACTACGTCCCCATTGTCTCAGCAACATGTTCACAAGGCTGAAAACTTACTTCAGACTGGCTTTATTACAACAGATTGCATGCTGGTATTTTGAAGAGTCACTCAAAGGACAGAATTCAGTCTGAAACTAATACCAGGTGTTTACATGAACAAGAGGTTCTGTTGGGTTAGAAAACCTGGATGTTCATTAAAATGCGACTGTGTTTGCAAAATGTGAGATGTCGGATACAACGAAACAAAAAACAACTTCTACTTGTGATCAGTAACCACTAAACAAGGCACTAACGAGCTTCTAGGATGCAAAGAAGTGAGCTGTCGCTGTCACAACAGAAAAGACGGGAACATTTCAGCTGACACATCTGTTGGGAAATCAAGCGGCGCTCGGTGTTCGGTTCAGCAGATTCTGGTTGTGTTGAGGTCACAGGAGGAAAAAAAGTCCTGCTTCAGACTGTTCTCAGGCACAGTGAAGGAGAGAAAAAAAGAGAAAAAGGAAACGCCCCTCAAGTGATGATGAGAAAATTTCACTGCCGTCTGCATATTTTTTGTTGTTTTTAATTTAAAGTTGAAATAAATTAATGGCTCTTGGACACTGGGAACAAGATAAAACCTCTAGTGATCATCCAGTCACGTCTAGTTTGCGGTTTTACTTGCCCAAGTTTTTTAGACACCAAGACATAAATAAAACGATGTTCACCTGTTCTAATCTAGTTGTAAATGTCTCCAAGACAGATGCCTCAAAACCTGGACAGATAAAGCCAGACGTACCCACGTGGCTTGAGATCGCTAGTTTTTAACACACATAAATGCATAAGAATTAGAAATGAATATTGTTTTTTATCAAAACTAGGTTTTTTTTTTGCAGGTCTGTGTTTGTAGTCCGACAGCTGCAGTGACAGTGTGATTGTGATCCTCCTGCTATAGCTGCTCTGTCACAGTTTGGACTGCCTCTCTCTGCTCTTGTGGTGAATACAGAGTGTTGAACTGAGCCTGGTTATCAACAATCATCTCCGTGACATGAGGGCTGATCATTCCCCTCAGACAGTTCAGTCTGACCAGGCCCGACTGGCCGGCCGACACAACCCAGATGTGGCAGCTCATGTTGGGGTTGAAACGCACCTGTGGAGAGGAGGAAGAGCAAAATGTTGAAAGTGATCTGTGCTCTCAGTATCAGAAGTCAGCTGATGTTTTAAACTTTTTCGAAAACCTGCTGTGCAGTTTGAGACTCTACGTTCAGTCGGGTTTCTCAGCGCAGACGGACAAAGACGGTGTGGAACAACTGACAAACAACTCAATGATACCAACCAGCTTTGAAATATTGTGTTGTTGTTTTTTTAACTGCTAAGCCGAATAAAATAGTTTATTCCTTTGTTTGATGGACTCAACATGTGACCTGAGTTTGGTTCTTAATCTCACATGATGACCACCCTGACAAAGAGGGCTTGGTTGTAGTCTAATTGTTCTGATCTGATGATAAAACATGTCACTCAGGCTACAGCAGACCCACACACACTTGTTGATATGGAAAGTGAAATGCAACCTCTAAAACTCGATTAATACTCCAGCGCTGAACTTAAGCATTGCTGACACTGCAGTCTGTACAAGTGGTCTGTTGTGTACTTGTGTGCTGGTGTCTGTTGCTCTGCAGGTACACCAGCAAAACCCTAGTGAGCTGCTCTTTGCTCCTGGAATGAGCTTCTTTGTGTGTTTCAAACAATAACGACTGAAACAACACAGATCATGTTGGAGTTACTTTAACTGAAATTACCGCAACACAAAAAAAGGGAGAAGACATCAGAACTGACTCCACAGACGGATTAGATGAGCTATAAAATAGTAAAACAACAAACAAACAAAGAAAAGAAAACAGCACATGGCACGCTCCTGGCAATAGCATTGGCATTACGAGCAGGCCAGACACAGTTACAGCGTCCAACATATTACATTTTGTTTCACAGAAGCATTATCTTGGCTGTAACCAACCACAGCTGTTGTAGTTTGCGTCACAGCGACTGTAATTATGCAGTGCAGGCCTGGCTACGCTGTAGAGTCCATGGCAACACAGAAGTATACAAGTGTAGTGCTTATGGCAAATCCCTACTTGTTCAGGACGAAATGGTGCGGCTTGAATTTTGGCATTTAGTCGTACCTTCAGCGAGCAGAATCCTTTTCCTGTTTACTGATGGGTTTCGGTCATTTGAAAGCTGTGTTCAGTTACTCTGAAGCTACAGCTGATGTAAACTGAACACTGCTCCTGTTAAACACTAAGAGCTTGGAGAGTGTATTGTGATGAAATATTAACAGTTAGCAGAACATCACTGTTTCACTTCACTGCAGTGAAAAAACACTTAAATAATGATCGCTGCTGTCCCTTTATTACAGCTCTTAGCAGGTAGCTACAAAAGCTAATCCAGTTGACTACTTTCTGTGTTTACTCTCAGTGACAAATGTTTGATTTTATTATGGAGAAGTTTATTTAGGAAGCTTTGGGAGATTCACTCTGCTTGAGTCGAGAAATGATTGGAGCTGCAGTCGCACTGAAGCGGGACGTACAGGCTGAACAGCAGTGGACCAAGTATTGATCCCTGAGGGACTCCACATATCATGTCAGTCTTGCTACTCATATTTAATAATTATCTGGATGACTAGTCTTACTTCCACTTGAGCGACTGCTATTACAAACTAACAATACTTTTATTTATAAGTGCATTTCTTGTCTACTCCGCCCTCCTCTCAGTGACTCAGCTCTGGCTCTCAGTAAGTCAATATCGCTGCCTCCTCCTTCCTCTCTTTACGGAAGCTCATCTGTCCCTTTGTTCATCACTATAAATCCTCCTGCTGTGCGTCTTCTTTGATTTTTTTTCTCCTTCCCTTCTCAAATCACTCTCTTCCTCTTCCTAATCCATTTATCCCTTTCAGACAGAGAGCCGGTCAAAAACTCGGCGGCGTTTTGTTTTTGAGATCGTCCCGTGAAGTGCCCGTCCATCATTTCATCCCAGAGGGCACAGCGACACCCTCCACTCTGCCGCTCTTAAAATTAAACACATCAAATCCTCAAATGGCTGCTCTCCATCTCCCCCTCCCTCCTTCCAACTGAGGGTGACATTTTTCTCATTTTACACATCATTACATTCAGCCCATCTTTATAGCTGCCCATCAGAGGAGGAGACAGAGGACGGAGGAGGAAGACGCTCCTCTTTCATATCTCACCTCTGTTTCCTTTCTCCCTCCTTCTGTTTATCTTTCCCTTCTCTTCTTCTTCATGTTGCGCTGCAGCAGGAGTCTGATCATGCCTGCAGTGTGTGTGTGTGTGTGTGTGTGTATAGATACCTTATGCAGTGCAGCCAAAGGCATCTCATCCACGGTCACCTTTGCCTTCCCTTCTGTGTCTCTCATGCGTTTCCACACAGCTCGCTTCTCGCTTTTCATGAAGTCCCGCTGGAAGTCAGAGGAGATAATTACTATTGTGTTAAATGCATATTATTTCACATTTTTAAAAAAATTCAATTATCAATATTTAAGAATACAGCAGTTTCCATTCGAATGCAGACCAAAATTTCAGACAACTGGCAAAAGAAATTGAAAATGAATGCATATTTCCTATGAGGAGGTGGGTGCATTTAGTGTTTGTTTAGTAGCTTGCAGGTACCAAATCTCCAGTCCTGCACCATTAACGACACCTGAAAGAAGTCAGGTGAAACCTCACATGTAACTGATGAAGAAAATGTAACAGAATATAACATTTTCATTTGTTTCAACAATGATTTTGAGGAAAGTCTGACCTCGGCACACAGAGGAAATGGTTTCATCTGGTATTTAAAATCATTTTTTGAGGGTTTTAATCCTTTATGTGGAAATTATTCGACAAAATCATAATATTTATACATAAAAGATGACTTTTGTTACACAAGTCATCATGTTTTTTCATGGAAGGTCCATCCATCCATCCATCTATACACAATTAATCCTCACTAGGGTCGCTGACTCAGGGTGAAGGCAGGGGACACCCTGGACAGGTCACCAGTCTATCACAGGGCTACACTTAGAGACAGACAACCAAGCACGCTCACATTCACACCTATGGACAATTTAGAATCACCAATTAACCTCAACATGTTTTTGGACTGTGTGGGAGGAAGTCAGAGAACCTGGAGAGAACCCACACTGCACGGGGAGAACATGCAAACTCCACGCAGAAAGATCCCGGGTGTCCTCACCGGGATGTGAACTGGCGACCTTCTTGCTGCGAGGCAACGATGCTAACCACTGAGCCACCTTGCAGCCTTTTTAATGGAAGGTCCTTGATATAATAGTTGTTATAAAAAGTGCTAGTCTGACTTTTATAGTTTATCTTGTTTATATTACATATTTGGGCTTTTTTTTGTTTGTGAGAAGTGCTTGATGAATGAAGTTTTTACGACTATAATTATCTCTTTTGTTGGCATTTATCTGTCTACTAACTTTTCAGCTCAGCCAAATGCACCAACTCTTCTGTTACATTTTCACCTTATTATACTTCTTATTATTATGACTATTGTTCTTTTCTGTCAGGATAGAAATGCATCAGAAAAAAAAAGAAAAACTCTGCCAAATTCTTAGATCACTTAAAAATGAATGCATGATGAAAATCTGTCACCTGGATAACACCACAAAGTCATTACAATCTTTTTAAGATCTTCTCCTTCCTACTATGTTTACCAAAAGGAATCAAATGATTTCACAAATGATTGAAAGTCAGTGCTTCAAAGCATCATCCAGTCATCAGATATAGCCCAGATCTGCCTCTTCTTTTTGAATTGGCCATTTGTTTATCCACGTGACAACATGCGTCACACCCGTGATTAATTGATGAGAAAAGCTGAGACTGAGGTAGAGTGATGATGTTGCTACTGGTCTAACATTTACCTTCATCAAACTAGCTTTGTGGGTGTCCTGTGTGTGATGCAGGTCCACTGTTGAAGGAAGGGAGTGACTTTCGTGTGTGAAGCTGAATTTAGAGTACCGTGTTTACTCTGTGCTGCAGACAGAGCAGAGCTGTGTTCCCTGTTCTGTGGCCTACACATAACTACACATCACACAGCTGTGACTGGTCTGCTTGGTAGGAACATGTCGTGTTTACATGGCATATTGTTGTGCAAAAAGATTCTGTGAAACTAAATGTAACACATAATAGGTTGTTATTGTATTGGGTTTGCACACACTGTGCCAGAGTGGCCTTTTACCGGGTTCTCATTTGTATAGCTTTAATAATCCATGTATGTACTAATTCGTTTCTTTTTTCCCTTCTCCTCTGCATTGCAATAATTTAAAAGTAATTTCTGTTTAACATTTATTGGCACTAACTTTGATATGACCTACTCTGATTCAGTTGAAATTACTTAAAGTACAGTCATCCTCAAATGTATTCTGATGTTGGCCCACTGCTCATCAGCAAAGTGCTCTAATTTGTCTGGAACAGTTTTTTTTTTTCCTATTCTTTTCACCCACAATTCAAAAGCAATGTCTTATTTCAATAAATTATAATTTAGAAAATTTTTATCTATTATTACTTTTTTCAGTTTCTAGTTAGTTGAGTGACTATTGTGAATTTTGCCTTTTCTTTCATGGAAAGGTATGAATACATTTGAGGACGACTGTAGATAGACATCCCACTGCTGACCAGTGTTTCAGGTGTGTAGCTGCAGAGCGACACAGAGGCACCAGCACACATGTATAAGGCCAATGTTATACTTTCTGCATCAGTGAGTATGCAGTGATCCATGCAGACCTCTGCTCCTGTCCACATGCAGCTTGTTGTATTAATAACACAACCGTTTCTTTTTCTTCTACCTACACAATGCGAAATTTACCAAAACGATGATTTCACTCATTAACTCACTGATCAAACAACATCTAAACGAGACTGAGATTTCTCGTGACCCATCTGTAAAGTACTCTGTGCCCTGATTAAAAAAAAAGAAAGAAAGAAAAGAAAAGCAGATAAGGAAGATTATTATTACAGGTTTCCATCGACCCACCATGTCATTATCTGTGTGGTAAAGGCAGTGGTTCTTCACAGCCTCTTTGTACGTCTGGAACCTCGAAGGAGGACATTTATCCTTTCTAACACTTCCATTCTCATTATTGTTTTCATTTCCTCCTTCAGGTGCAGCTTCCGCAGTCTCTCCTCCTTCCTGCTCTTCAACATCACCCTCCTCCTCCTCTGCTGCTCCCGTCTCTTGATCTTTTTCTTCCGTTTCATCACAAGGCACCACAGATGTGAAGTAAATCGGCTGAGGGGGGAAAATACAGGAAACTGTTAGCTTGTCTGATCAATGGTTTTTACAGTAAAATGTACACTTTGATAGCAAAATAAAAAGCGACCAAGTTAGGTTATTACATCTATGTGTATCCTACATGTGTATGATTTCAAATGTAAGTCATTTGATGTCAAACTACAATATAACAGCAAGTACTTTAAATTAAAGATGGGAAAGAGAGGGGCACGAAACAAACATATAAAAGAACTTGAAATCAACTTACGAATCGTCTCTCTATCGTGCGTTTGTGGTAGGGAAGCGTGAAGTTTATCTGAGGTAACAGAGAGAAGATCACCTCTCCGTGGCAGTCTGACGTCACCACGCTGTTTAACCACTCACTGTAATTGATGGACTGCAATGACACGTAAAAACACCAATCAGAAGTGACATATTAGGTCATATAGCAATGTTGTTATAACAGTTTTAATGCAGTATATAAGATAAAAATTAAACAGCTTTATTTGTTCTAGTATTTTTTTTAATGACAACAAAAAAAAAGTCCAGAGCCGGCCTGGCAGTGATCTTTACTGTCCTTAGAGTCAACAAATCCACAAGGTATTATGTGTGTGTACGAACCTAACAATTCTTCTGTGCCACAGAGCTCCACTGTTGTCCAAAAACTACAACTTACATTTGTAAAAAGTCACTGAGCCACATAGCAGCTCTGGATGACGTTTCTGAATTCTAACAGACTCACACACTAGTTCATTTTGAATTTTCAGGACACTCTCCTGCTCCCACAACCTGCTGCCATAAACATCCTGCTATGGACTCCTGCTGACAAAGATTAGCTGAACAATGCAGCTCCCAGCTCGTTTAAGAAATAACTTTGCCCTTTATGAAACTTAAACTTTACATTTTCTGAGCAGCTTTTAAAGATCGATGTATTCTAGGGATGCACGATATATCGTCGACCACATCAGTATCGGCCGATATCAGTGTTTTATTCCGATGTATCGGGATCAGTCTGATGAACAAATTTAGCCGATGTGAAAAACTGATGATCGTCTAACATCAGCGCATTCGTCTCTACATTTGATATCGCTGCCATTTCACAGATGTTTTTACTTAAATGCTCCTGGACTTGAATATGTTAAAATATGTTTAAATATGTTTTACATTTGTTACGTAATAAAGAAGACTATGTGGTGTAATTTGGTATGGGCTTCTTTTGAACAGTGTTCACATTCTCACAGTGCTTACTTAGACTCATTTTTCGGTGTGAACAACAATTTAATATTGACATCGGTAATACTGGTTATCGGTGATATCAGAAATCTTAACATCTGATATCGGTATTGACCAGAAATTGTAATATCGTGCATCACTAATGTATTCAGACGGAACAAGTGGGCTGGAGTGCAACAGACAGGACAGGGAGGTGAAACAGTGTTATGAGAATGGTAAAAAAACAGAGTAATGACACTTTTATAATCTGGGTTAAACTTAACTACTTGAGGTGTTCTGGTACCAGCACGCTTATAAACTAACTTACGTTCCAACATATTCATTTCTAACACTCCACGACTGGCACATAAATCCAGAACCAGAGCACAGCTGGGGTTTAATCATTTCCCGAAGGTTCTTCATCTTCATCCCTGCCAACAGGACTGTCGTGCGCACAATTCAAGGGTTTTCCAAAGTGCAAAGCTAATCTATTTCGCGCTCTGCGGCTGACTTAGGGGGACGCTGATGACTGAAGGATGGAAGATTAAAACAGCCACACTCACCCACAGAGTGGCAGTCCGAGGAATTGCCAAGAGGGTGCGCATGCTGTGGTCGATGTAGTGGACTCCGTGTGAACCTTGCCTAAATAAAAGCACAAATACATCAAATTAAATGCAGCAGGTAGCATGAAAGGAGGGAAAGAAATAAGAAAATTCCAGCGTAACCTTTGTACACACTCTCAATGTGTACTCCTCAGCCTGTAAACAGTTATTTAATGTCTTGATTCGTCACCAGGGATGAAAACAGTTGCTGTTTTCTAGGCAGGGACGGTCCAATGAATGACACAAGTTGGGTTGGGATCTTTTTTTGCAAGATGATTTGAAAGATATAAGAGATTGAGCAGAGTGTAGGGCCATTCACTCCCATATCAGGTTGAGGTTCACAAGCATACAGGAAGTACTGGACATGAGACCAGCACTAGACTGGGCCCCACACCGCTGACCAGTTCTCGCGTCCCTCGGGGCAGCGTCCTGTCCTGAGGGGACAAGCCAGCAGTTGTGGGTCGCCAGAAAACATCCTGCTACTAGGTTTTGTTCTGAAATGGATGATGATGAAGTCAGGCTAAAGAAAATGACCTCTGAGCTTGTTTTTCCCCTCAAGAGAAACTATAGTGATAGGGCCTGCAACTTCTGATTAGCTTTTAAGATTTGGTTGACTTGGTGACACCTGCATGGCGGTAACAGTATGATTCTGTAGATCAAAGGCCTCATTGTGTCAGTGAGCTGTTTAACTCTGTGGCAGATTATGCAGATGTATTTATTATTGGTGCATTATACCAAACTTCTATTATACAACTGTCTCAATCTCCTATCTGTCCAACGTTAGAGACGAGCTACAGAGACAGCTCATCCTACACCGACATGTAAAGTTTGTGGATCTGAGTAGGAAAAAACAAAGAAGCTCTCTTACGTTACGTAGGCGTTCTCCTGGGCCGGCAGGAGCCCCGGTGCGTTCAATGGCCAGTAGATTTCATTGGTCAGATAGCGTTTCAGAGCAGTGTTGGGTTCGTAGAGCCTCCTCAGATCCCACGTCTTCAGGTAGCGATCTTCTCCCGCTGTCACCAACAGGTGTCTGCAGAGAGAAGATGCTTCGACAGCTTGACTAATGACAAATGATCAGAGTCCACTCTTGATCAAAGACATGTTAATAATGGAGGAACAAGCTACGACTTTCCATTAGTGGAAAATGTAAAAAAAAACAACAGCAGAAAAACGGCTGAATGTGTGAATTAAATTCTAATGCGGCGGTTGAAGTGAAATTCATCATCCCCCTAACATTGATCACACCTGACAGCAGTGTCTGCCGTAAAACAAATGAAGACGGAGCAATCAATACAATCAGATTTCATTTGGAAAAAAACACAAGCTGCTTTATGAATGTGAAGAGCAGAGAAAGAGGAGAATAGATGACAATATATTGAAGTGGGGGGAAAAGGAAAGAAAAAGGGGTGTTCAGGAACACAGAACAGGAACAGAGAGAGACAGACAGTTTTATCTCTTTTAACATGGCTGCGTAATTAAAAAGCAGTGATCCAGACAAGATGTGTGTCCTCCGAGTCTCTCCGCTGCCAGCTGAGCACTTTCTCTCTCTGTGGGATTAATCTTAATCTGTTATTCACCTTTAGTTCAACTTTAGTTCTACATCTGCCTTCATAGAAGAACTACTACGGGCAGAGGAACATGGTTGTTTTTCAAATTAGCCTCAGATCCTCTCAAAGATGAACGACGCTGCAGCGGTGTTAATGGCAGCATTAATTACCCAGAGACGTTTCTGTACATGAACCTCAGGCATGCAATGTGAGCAAAAAGTTATATTTACGAGTTTGAGCCAGTGTTGTCTAGACGGTGTGATTTGGTTAGGAGTCACTGCTCTATGAAATGAGGACTATAGGCCAGTACAACACAATAGACACCAAACAGCCCCAACATTAAAACCACTTTGCTGAAAAACGTGTAGGTTCCCCTTTCGCTGCCAAACCAGCTCCAACCCATCAGGCTATCGGGGCTGTCCTGTGGTGTCTGGCAACAGGATGTCAGCAGAAAATGTCCTGTTGTTTGTGGATTGCTTCTCCTGATGCATTTACCAAGTTGAGATCTGTGTAGGTCAGAGGCCCAGTCAACACCTTGGGCTCTTTGTTGTGTTCCTCGAGCTGTTCCTGAACAGCTGTTGTGGTTGAGAGTGCTGTAATCATGCTTCTGTCCGCAGCAATAGGCTGTTTTCCACAACAGGAGCTTTATTTTTTTAGGGCAGCCTGAACCTTAGAGTGTGTTCTGACTGCAGGAACCTCACCTGTAGAAGTTTTTCCGGGTTGTTATCGTGGGATAAAAAAATACTTTGTGCAGTGGCACCGAAAATCTACAGCACGGGTCTTAAAGCTGATTGGTTAAACCGGGAGAGGACAATAAGCTCAACTATTTCCGCCCTCTCAATGTCTCTTACTAAGTAGCAGAATTTTTCACTCAAACATCAGCATCAACAATATAAAACCCTTAAAAAACATAACAAACACTCCATTGTTTAATTTCCTACGTCCTCATGAAGCTTGAGTTACTTCCACTAACTGCTATTTATGGCCATTTTGGCACACCGAGAGTTAACATTGTGTTCAAAGCTGTTGGATCCTACACTGCAGTGGAAACAGAGAGCTGGAAAAAGCAGATTACGGGCCATTCCTGTAAACATTTGCACCACCGGCACCTGTTCTGAGCTGGAAAGCTGCCTATTGTTTAGATGGGTGGTACTTGTCAAAGTAACATGCACATGAGCGCCAGGAAGGAAATTCAAAAGTGGCTGCTTTCATCAGAAATTTCACCTTTTAGTTATTCTGTATCCAGAAAAGCTGACCAATTCTCAAATTTACTGTTGATACCTATGTTACTGGTTGTTTTTCCATTACTGGTAATAGTGGCAAATAGCTGGCAGGTATGACAGTTAAAACTTCGTAGCATCTTTAGGCAGTTATTTCAGGCCAATGAGAAGAGATCCTTATTTAAATGAATGGAGAGAGAGTCACAATTGTAATTTCAATGGTGACTGTGCTCCAAAATAAGCTTTAAGAAGCATTTTCCAAAGTCTCCACAGAGCTGAAAAATGACCTGTGCAGGCAGCAAACATTAGAGGGTACACTGACTGACAGAATCATCACTCTGTTGCTCGCTGGCTGCAGCAAAAACACACAATCCTCACTAACTTTTTTTAATAAATGGTGGTGGAGCAGATAATAAAAACGAGAAGGCTGCTAACATCTTTGATCACGGGAGAAAGCGAGCACAGAGAAGCTGGAGGGACTCGATGTTTCAGAGTTTTGAGCTACACTCTGGCTCACGGCGGAGTCTGAAAGCTGACGCTGATATCTCATATTTTCAGAAGTTCGATACACATTCACGAAATGTTCTCTTTCAGCAGTTCTCCCAAAAACTAAATGCATGTCAAGGCAGAAAAATCCTCTGTGAAGTCATTTACATCATGTGACACTAATAGCCATATTCATCATGCTGTAGGTGGCTTGTCAGGGCCGTAAATGAGGATTACGCTGAGTCATTCACACTGTAGATTTTGGACCTGCTCAGATGGCACTAACTGGGCAATATCAGATTCTTGATAAAAGGCTACTCTTGGTCCTGGATATTACTTTACCCCTAATGCTGACTTGCACTGTGTATCAGTGAATCCTTATGGCAGACACAGGTGATGATCAGCACATATATCAGCTGAGTAACGGAGCAGAGAGAAATTATTTCACCTCCTCATGAGATCTACGAACTTTTACAGATATTGTCCAGTCAGTGTTCACCTTCAAACATATGGAGGATGGATCAGCTTTTAGGATGTATTCACATCTAGAAAATAACAGTTAATGTAAATTAGAATACTTCTTCCTGCACTTTGTTGCAAAATTATCGCACACTTTAAGTCAGATTTGTATAATTACAGTCTGTTTTTTCTAAAGCTGGTTATTGAACCTCAGTGTTCGACTATTTGACTGAACTGAACCGAGGATGTTCCAGTGATGTGGTATTCTCTTTAGCCATTAGGTTCAAGCCTCTAAGGGAACCTAATTATTTCTTCAGTGTCAGAGCGCATTTTATTTCAGTGAGGCCCTATTCAGTTAAGTTGTGTTTAACATTTGTTAAATCGGAGAGAGAATTGGTTGAAAAAAAAAAAGCTAAGTAGTGAATAAAGCTTCATTTAGGTACCAGTATCAAACTGGTAGTAGAATTGGATTTTCCAATAAAACCAGCCTGATGTTTTGCATGGTATGTTGACACGTCACAGGGTAAATGATAAATGAGGGTTGGACTCTCCAGCTCAGTCCTAGTGCACGTATACACCCATCAGCTACAACATGAAATCCACTGACAGGTGAAATAAGCCGCATTGATCATGTCATTAAACTGGTACTTGTCAAAGGGTGGGGTATATAAGGCAGTTCATGAAGTTGATGTGTTGGAAGAAGGACAAATGAGGAAGCATAAAGATCTGAGCGACTTTGACAGGGGGTCAAACTGTGATGCTTGATGACTGGGTCGAGTTAGATGTGAGCTAGCGACAGGGTCATGGGAGCCATGAGCTTGTTGATATATGTAGGGAGTGAAGACCTGCCTGTGTGGTCTGATCCCACAGCACAAACCGCTGAGAACCTTAATAATGCTGGCTATGAATTCATGTGGATTACCACCCCCATGTATACACCCCTGTACAACCGTGGTATTCACTGATGACAATGACCTCTTCCGGCAGGATAACAACTCCGGCCACACTGCAAACATTATCCAGAAATAGTTTGAGGAACATAAAGAGCTCAAGGTGTTGACTTGACCTCCAGATTCCCCAGACCTCAATCCAATCAAGCACATGTGA